ATGGAGGGGATTGGAACCATGGCAGTGAGATATACGATGGAATGAATGTAAAACTAAAGTTCTCCCATGTAAACTATCATATAATTTACAATAAAACATTTTTTAAAAAAAAGATTTATAGCCTCAGAAACCCTATGCAGGGTCCCTGTGAGTCAGAACCAACTCCACTCCAACTACCACCACCACCAGCTCTCCTTGCCATTTTGGGGTCCTGGCTAATGCAAATGATTTGGCTCATCTGCAACAGTCTCTGCAAGGGAAAAAGACAATGCTCTCTGTTCCTGTAAAGGTTTGCAATCTCAGAAACCAAATATAGGGTTGCTATGAGTTAGACTCGACAACTTTGTCTTTTAGTGCTGTGGTAACAAGTACTACAGGTGAATGGTTTTAAAGTATAGAAATGTATTTTGTATAGGAAGCTGGAAGTCTGAATTCAGGTCTCTAGCTGTATGGGAAGTTCTCTCTGGTTGACTAAGGGAGAATTTGTCTCTTTGAGTTTTTGTTCTTCAGTTCCTTGGTGACCTTCGGTGGCATTTGTCTTCCCCTATTTTGTACTTATTTAATCTCTGTGTCTTTGCTGCTCCTCAGCAGGGTCTCATTAGCCGAACAAAGAAAATTCTATTACCAAATGGAATTATATTTATGGCTATAGGGGTTAGCATTCCAACACTTAGTTAATTTAGCTAAATTAACTAAATTTAATACTAAAAAATTTTTTTTCAATTTTACGGAAAAGAGGGTGATATCTGCCCAGAATACATTTTATTTTGAAAGGCATAGTAGTGTTGAAATTAAAATTTTACATATATATCTGACGTGAAGTATGTAAGGACTAAGCACTGAGTAAAAAATTCTTCTTTTCTCAGATGCTGAATTTTCCTCCATTAATTACAACTTGATAAAATAAGTCAAGCCTTTCCTAATGATTAATAAATTTTCTTCGAATAAGAGTACTTTGAACTTATACTCTGAAAACAAATATGGATGGTATCTGATTTAGTCATGGCCTTTGTAATTTATAAGGAGCTCTGGTAGCGTAGTGGTTACGAGTCTGGGATGCTAATCTCAAGGTCAGCAATTCAAAATTACCAGCTGTTCCACAGGAAAGATGAGGCTTTCTGCTCCCGTAAAGATTTACAGCCTCGGAAACCCTATGGAGGTTTGAATCAGAACCAACTCCCAGCACATAACTACTACTAACTTTGTAATTTATGTTAACACATGATTGAGACTATAGTTTCTTTTTGTTTTGTTTTTTTAATGGAAAAATGGGTTAAAAGGTAATGGAAATCTTCCACAAACTTTATGACACTTCCTTGTGCAATTTTTTATGAACAAAAGCTTATAAATAGGACTATCGTTTGTTACTGCTTTAAGTTTGGAAACATTTTCTAGCTATATATATAACACATTTACCATTTCAACATTTTTTCAGATGTATAAAATAGTGATATCAGTTGTATTAATCATATGCACCCATCACCCATAATCAAATTTGGAAATATTTTTAATGTACATTATTTCTTTGACTAAAATTTGCATTTCTTTATCAGAGGTATTCAATTAAAAGCCTTGTTATTGAAGGAAACTTTTCCCCCAGTATTCACATTGGTGTTTTGTATGAGTTGTTTGATATAATATTTGGACATAAAATAAAATGTTAGCACATAAATTGAGAAAGTTACTTTTACTTTAGGATCTATTTAACTTTCTTTAGTAATTTTTTGTCTAAGTTACAAATAATTAAAACTCAAGGGAAGTACATGATGGTTACCTGTCCTTCAAGTATATTCTTCTACAACTGAAAAACTTTCCAAATACTTATACATTTATGAAACACCCATTTTAAAAAAGATATTAATAACTGAAAATCTAACCTTCCATCAATTTATAAAAAGAAAACAAGTCAATAAAACAAGACTTCTAGGTTGTTATACTAAAGCAATAATCTCATGGGAGAGATAATGAGACAAAAGACAAATCACACACAAACCACATCCTCTCCTTTCTGTTGTGCACAATCCACAATTTGTGGTCAATTCTGAAAGAGGTGTATGAACTATAGTTATGGTATAAAGCTCAAAAAAGAAGTGTTCTATTGATTTCTAGTCTTTCAAATGCTTTTGATGTCTGCAATCATTCTCCTGTTGAAAAATCATAAATGTGAATTATACTTATGATAAAACTCTTTTCTTCCTATAGAGAGAAATAGCTCGGAAACTTGCAAATCCTAAGCAGCCAACAAATCCTTTTCTAGAGATGGTTAAATTTTTATTGGAAAGAATTGCACCTGTGCACATTGATTCAGAAGCCATAAGGTAAGGAAAGAAATATAATCACTCAAAACTAAAATGATCTGAAACTGCAGTATTGTATTGTGTGGCACTGCTGGGTAATGCACTGGACTGCAAGGTCAGTTTAAAGTACAGGGTTGATGATTCAAACCCAACAGCCACTCCTCAGAAACCCTAGACAGGATCACTGTGAATTGGAACCTACTCTGTGGCACTTAACAAGAACAAGAAGATCTAAAAAGTACCTGTGTACCTTTTTAATGCAAAAGCATACATCATTCAAGTTGAGAGAAGGTCCTGCTTTTTTTTTAATAGACTAGTGTGGCACTGTATGGTAAGCACTGTTCTGCTAACCACAAGGTCGGCAGTTCAAACCCAGCAGCTGTTCCTTGGAAACCATATACGTAGTTGCTATGAGTCACAACACAAATTTCTTTGATTTGTTTTTAAAAACACGTCTTGTGTTTATTTAAAGAAAACATGGAACATAAAGAAAGAGATGTGTCTCTATTGCTTACTATCTTTGTGACTTTGAGGAAGCCCCCAATTTGTATGGGTTTTCATTTTTAAAATGATTATAACATCTCCTTTTTTGATTGTTTTGATAATTAAGGATATAAAAATTGGCATAAAAGATATCAGTTGACATCTAGTGTATTTTACTCAACTTTTCCCATAGTTTAATGCATTTCAGTTATTTGTAATGGTTTTCTAGTGCAAACTCCTGGGAAAGCTTTTCTCTTGTACTCATTATGTTTTACAACTAATGTTGTAAATTTATATGTCATTATAAATTGGTCATAACATAAAGCAGAATCCTGGTGTGGTACTGCAGGTTAATGCGTTAGACTGCAAGGTCGGTTTGAACTGCAAGGTCGATGGTTCAAGCTCATCCGCCACTCCTCGTAAACCCTATACAGGGTCGCTATGAGTAGGAACTGACTCAGCGGAACAACAACAAAGCAAGATAAGTGGTTGCCAGAGGTGGCTTAAAGGGGTTCACTATGGAGAGGCATACAGCAGTTTTTTGTCTTTTGGCAATGGAAATACTGTGTTTCTATAATGAGACGCCACTTTACATGCACTGTTGTTGCTCAGCACTGAGTCTTTCAACTCATAGCAACCCTGTGTATGGTTTCCCAGGAGCAACTGGTGGGTTTGAAACACCAGTCTTGCTGTTAGCTGTCTTGTGCCACACCAAGATTCCTATACCTACTTCTTGTTACGTGCCGTTGAGTCAGTTTCAATCCATAGCGACCCTGTATAGGGTTTCTGTGGAGTGACTGGTAAGCTTGAACTGCCAACCTTGCAGTTCAAACTGACTTTGCAGTTCAGCGCATTTACCCACAGTGCCCTACCAGGACTCCTATTCCCACTAGGATAACTATAATAAAAGAAAAAAAAAAAAGTATTAGCACGGATGTGGAGGAATCCTAAAAAACACTTATATACACTTATTACAGATGGAAATGTAAAATGAAACAACTGATTTGGGAAACAGTTTGACAGTTCCTCAGCATTAAACATAAGGCTACCACATAACCCAGCAATTTCATTGCTAAGTCTTATGTTTCCACACAAAACCTATACATGAATGTTTATGGCAATATTATTCATAATAACCCAAAAATGTCCATCAGCTGATGAGAAGATAAGTAAAATGTCATGTCCATACATTAGAATATTACTCAGCAACCAAAAGGAATAAAGGACTGACACATGCTAAAACATGGCTGGACCTCAGAGATATTATGCTAACTGAAAGAAGGAATTCACAAAAGACCCAATTATATTGTATGATTCCATTTATATGAAACAGCAAGCAAATCAATTCATAGTAGGCATAGGAACTACATTAATGATTGCTTAGGGCTGGAGAGCAGGGGAGATGGGTACAGGGTTTATGTGGTGGGAGGGGCATGGGTAAAAATGTTTCAAGGTCAGATTGTTGTGATGGTTCTACTCTGTGAATATGCTAAAAGCCATTTAGTTGTATACTTTTAAATTGGCAAGTTGTACAGTATATTTGAAGTTATTTAATATATGTGTGTGTGAGTTACATTATTTAGAGTCCTGGTGTGATGCTGTGGGTTAATGCGCCAGACAGCAAAGCCGTTTGAACTGCAAAGTCAGCGGTTTAAGCTCACCAACTGTTCCTCGGAAACCGTATATAGGCTCGCTATGGATCGGAACCGACTTGACAGCACGTAACAAGAAGTTATATTATCTAGCTTGTTTTCCAAAAAAAACAAAAACCCTTTATCTTATCAAATAAAAATAAGAAAGTTTACAAATTATTATGATTATGATGGTAAGGGGGAATAAAAGTGCTAACATTAGTTTAAACTTCAACGTTTTCATCCTATAATGTTTTATACTTTTAAAAAGATTTTAATACTTTGAAATATGAATAGCAAGGAAGAAAGATTTCATCCAGAACTTTTATGATTAGCCTCATTTGCTGAATATTTGATATCTACCAGGCCCTTTGTTGGAATAATTCAATGCCCTTATGAGACAGTAATATTTTCATCATTTTAGTAGAGGAAACTTGACTCTCAAAACCAAAAAAAAGAAATAGGTATTTACTTAAAAGAGTGCTGTGCTGTTGCCTGATTTTTATTGACCATATTGCATTCCATATTAAACAACTAAGTATTTTTCTAATTTATAATTTTTTTATGAATATAACATTTGTTGCTATTAAGTGCTGTCGAGTCAGTTCCAACCCATAGCGACTCTGTATAGGGTTTCTGAGGAGCAGCTGGTAAGTTTGAACCACTGATGTGTTTCACACGAACAGTCTTAGTGTCTGCAGCATTTTCCCACAGTGCCACACCAGGATTCCAAATATAACACTATACTTAAATTAATTTCATTCTGGGTATAAATTTCTAGAAATTATTACTGATTTAGTAAATTAGCAGTGATTAGTACATTTGTTACTGTTTGTATTTCATTTTTCTGTTCCTATCTAAGAATGTTCTCATGGTTCAACCATTGTAGAATTCTTAATTTTCTTTAGCTTTTATTTTCAGTTTGGTATTTATTTTGACTGCAAGAAAAGCTTTCATTTTTTTACTTTCTAAATTTATTAACTAAAGTAGTAATTCCTTGTTTTATAAAAAATCATTTAAGTATGTACAGAAAAAGAGTGTGTAGAGTAGTAAGAAAAGTAAAGTATAAAAAAACATTGTGTAGGGAAACAAACTAAAAATAAGCTCAGATGTTAAATAGAGATCAAAGTTAGGAAAAAAAATCACAAAATAACATTTTTGAATCTGAAGTTTAAGTTGTGCATATATGTTCTGCTATAGTGCAATTGTGATACTGTTAATACTCACATAGTGTAACTAATCCAGGTTTTCTTATTTTCATAGTGCACTAGTAAAATTGATGAATAAGTCCATAGAGGGAACAGCAGATGATGAAGAGGAGGGTGTCAGTCCAGATACTGCTATTCGTTCCGGACTTGAACTTCTTAAGGTATTCTTAAGATAATTTAATCTCCCTGAATTTCCTCAGTTATAATTTTCATTCTTTTCAGGGTATACAAGAGTCAGACTTACTTTGAGGGGGAGCAACTCTAAAGATTAAAAACTGTGTCATAAGTTATATTGTATACAAATAATGTTTTGGGTTTTATTTTAGTAATGTATTCAAGGTGAAAGTTTGCACAGCAAATTCAGTTCCTTTTTAACAATTTTTACATAAATTATCCACGTGGTATTGGTTACATTTTTCCCAGTGTGTCATCACTCCCATTTATTCCATTCTTGTTGGACTGCCTTATCATCTTTGCTTTAAATTCTGACCATTTGGTGTCACAGAAGATCTTTTAAATGAGCTCATTACTCACATGTGATACTCTTTATTTTATTATCCTATTACTTAGCTAGTGACCTCAAGGGATAACTTCAGTATAAGATTTACAGTGTATCTCAGAGTAACAGTCTTAGGGAATTCTCTAGTCCCAGCTGGTCCATTAAGTCTGTTACACATTTTTCTCATGTTTCATCTATTGTGTGGTCAGAATGATTGTAGTGATAGTCAGCTATCAACTAGTTCTTCTAGTGTTGGTAGGTGAGCCCATGGTTCGTGTATACTATACCAGTGCTTTCAAACAAGTAACACATCTAACGTGCTTGCTTGCCAACTCCTCACTACCCCCAGGAGGTATTTTCATAAACGCTGCTATGACAATTTTTTTTACATGAAGATGGTATAGGACTAAGCAGTTTTTCATTCTATTACATGTTGTCACTAAGTGCCTATTACATGCTATTGAGTTGATTTTAAGTCATAGCAACCCTGTATAGGGTTTCTGAGGGGCTAGAGGGTTTGAACTGCCAACCTTGCTCTTACTCCAGTGTTATGAACCAACTGATCAGCACCTAACAACAGTAACATGGCATATGGATATAAATGTATGAAGAATAGATATGTACCCACACACTCATATTTCTGTACTTATATTACTATATATATTGGTGTAATTACACTTAAAGAGTTCTGATGTGATACTGTAAGAAAAGCACTGGACTGCTCACAGAAAGACAGGCAGTTCAAACCCACCAGCTGCTCAACCAACATCACAGTACATAACAAAAACCACACTTTTTGGTGGTGGTTGGCATTGTTGCACAGTTGTATTTGTCATGTTGTTGTTAGATTCCGTCAAGTTGGTTCCGACACATAGTGGCCCAGTATAAGGTTTCTGAGGAGTGATTGATGAGATTGAACCACAACATTGTGGTTCAAACTGACCTTGCAGTCCTTTGCTTATTCTACAGTGCCACACTAGGATACCAAAAACATCCTTTTCTATAGGTCACATCTTAGTAACAGCATTTACCTTGGTGAAGCTGAATACAGCCAATGCTACCTCTCCCATAAGCAAAACTAACAAAGGTATACCATCTCAAAAAAGAACTCTGGTAGCATAGTGGTTATGAATTGAACTGTGAACCAACCATAAGGTCAGCAGTTCGAAACTACCAGCTGTTCCGCGGGAGAAAAATGAGGCTTTCTGCTCCCGAAAAGATATACAGCCTTAGAAATCCTGTACAGAGTCACTATGAGTCAGAACCAACTCCACAGCATATAACCACCACCACCACTATCTCAAAAGTGCATCCTTGTTTTCCACTCCCACACTTTGTGTGTGTGCTTATGCTTTGGTATAGTGCTGCAGGGTAAGCACTGGACTGCAAGATTGGTTTGAACAACAACATATGACAACCCTTTATAGGGTTTCTGGGGAGCAGTCAGTTATCCTTCAGTGCCATACCAGAACTCATATACATACATATGTACGTATATATATTCTTGTCCATCTTTTGTGCTATTGTAAATAATGCTGTAGTGAACATAGGTATGCATGTCACTGCTGTTACATCTTTAAGATCTATACCTGCAAGTGCAATCAAAAGTTGTTTTTACTTATTTATTTTGGAGGGAGTTAGTTTAATGTGAAATGAGTGATAGTTTACATGGGAGAACATCAACTTTATACCTTTGATTCATTGCAATGATTACAATCTCCCCCGTGCAACATCATTCAACAGTATTTGCTTCCATTCCCTTTGTTTTTCTTTTGGGGGGCAGGGCAAGCAGTGGGAATGTACACAAAAGCACTCAGAAATACATAATAATTTAAACAACCAAAGGGCATATTCTGCAAACCTGCCTCCTGGCCGCCAGCACCCAGTCCCTCTCTTTCCATGAATCTAGAGTCCTCAGCTGCTCCCTCTCTCCATGTCCCCATCTCTGCCTCCATCCCTGGTGTCACTGCTTCTCTGGATAGGGTCCCCCAATCTGCTTATGCTCTTCTCCCTTGATGGTCCTAAGGTCCTCTGTTTCTGGACTGTAAGATTAACTACTCCCCCGTTTTTGTTAACAAAACTTCTGCCTTTACAGTTTTGACAGATGCAATTATTCATAACAATTAATCACTATTGAATCATAAGATTCTTATCCCCATCTCTTTTCACCAGACCTGTGAAGATAAGATGAAAACTCTTCTTTGGGGACTCTTATCTTCCCCCACACAGTCTTAAACTAAACTCCATCATGAATACTTGTAAGCCAGTCACTTCGTGTCTTTATCGCCCCCTTGTTTTAGGTAGCCAGTGTCTAAATTGCCCATCCCTATCTACCCTGTGTACAGAGGGGATAGGACTGATACTTGATGTGAAGACTTCTTCCCTATCCATTGGTATTTTGAGCTACTACATCCATAAGTATAGGTCAAGTTCATCAAATTATAGCAATTTACCCTTGTTTCCTTTAACAAAAAAATTTTTTTTTATCTTCCTATAGTTAAGTTCTGATTATCAAGCCATCGAGGCTAGGTCATATGGGTTCTATCCGCAAGTTTGGGTGTTCTTGTGCATCTCCCCTGACTTCATATCAACTGGATGCTTCACTCTCAGCTCTAGCCCTCTGTGGCTATGTCCTTGTCCATGGGCTCAGTTGTCCCCAGGTCTCACCACACATTGAACCAACCAGCCCTTCCTCTTCTCTCATTCATCTCCAGGTCAGCGGTCTATTTCCTTAATTTCCCTGCCACTTTGCTGAATCTTTTAATGAGTTCCAATAATTTTCTTGCTGAGTCTTTGGGATTTTCAAAGTGTAGGATCATTGTGTCTACAAACAGTTTTATTTCTTCTTTTCCAGTCTGGACACCATTAGTTTCTCTTTCTTATCTTATAGCTCTAAGACTTCAAACACAATATTGTGTAGGAGTCGTGATCATGGGCATCCTTGCCTGATTGCTGTCCACAAAAGGAATGATTTTATGTTGTTGTTGTTGTTGTTGT